AAATATTTAATAATTACTTATTTATTTATTATGCAGGATTTAATTAATGAAGGAGCCCAAAAAATAGGTGTGGTGGGAATTCCACCGGTAGGCTGTGTGCCAGCACAAAGAACTCTGGACGGCGGCATGCAAAGAAGCTGCGTTCCGGGTCAGAACCAAATGGCGCAAATTTACAATACTGCCCTCGCCAAGGAAATGCAAGGCCTCAATGCTAAATATCCAGGAAGGCTGTTGGTCTATGTTGATATATATGATATCCTATATGATATTATTCAACAACCTAATAAGTATGGTAAGTCACTCTTATCTTATTATTATTATTATTATTCTATTTTATGTCATTAATATAATAATAAATATTATAATTTTCATTTTTTTATAAAAGATTTTCATTTTCATTTTTATAAAATTAAGAGTATGTTTGAAATAGTTTTTTTTTTAATAATTTATTTTTAGATTGCAATCATAATTTTATTAGGCTATTATTATTTTCTTATTATGATTGAAACAGTTTTTGGTGGTTGAAAATTGTTTTGAAAACTGTTTTTTGCAACAAAATTTTTTTTCACAATAATTTTATAATCAACTTTATAAAATATTACGGCTATCCCAAATAGATCATAGATCATGAAATTCTCATATAAAACTTTTTTATTTAAAAAAAAAAACATATTTATATTTTTTTTTTGAAAAATTTCAAATTCATCCATTATTATCCTACTTCTTAAGCAATTGCATCTACATCTTTAATATAATTTCTAAATGCAAAAAATTATGCATGATTTAAGGTGTTAACAAAGGGAGAAATTATTACGTGCGGTTATCACATCGTTCAGAGGTGAATCAAGATGCTCCATGTCATTCGCTACACAGCGGTACACAACCAAAAAATAACATGGCGCGTCTTGATTCGCATTCGGATGTCATTAGATGACTTCAAGTAATAATTTCACCTAGAAAGGACTATTATGGCATTGGCTATCTTGAACTTTAAAACCTTGTTGTTAATTGTTATAAGTTATAGCATATTAAAATAATAATAAATATTTTAGTTTTCAATTTTTTATAAAACATTTTCATTTTCAATTTTATAAAACTAATTGCCTATTTTGAATAGTTTTTTCACTGTTTTATTTTTCAGACAACAATCACATTTTTATTTGACTACTACTTTCTTATTTTATGGTTACTTTTAAAAAAAATTTCCTAATGAAAAGTTATTTTTTATAGACATAATGATTAAGATATTTTTCTCACAAGTAATTTTATGTAATACAATAGCTGTTCCAAATAGGAGAGATTATTATGTGCGGAGTCCGGACATAGAGAACCGTTCGATTTTGTGATTGTGATAAATGTGAACACTAAAAGCGTATGGGAGAATAATAACTATGTTTTTATTTTTCAAAGTCACAAAACCGAACGGTTCTCTATGTCCAGACTCAACACGTAATAATCTCTCCCCAAATAGAACTGAAATCACGAAATTCTCGTATAAAGCATTTGTATTTTTTTTTTTGAAAAATTTCAAATTCATCCCTCATAATTCTACTTCTTAATCAATCACATCGACAAATTTAACATAATTTCATGCAGGGTTTGAGGTTTCAACAAAGGGCTGCTGTGGCACCGGCGATCTTGAAGTCGCAGTGTTATGCAATACCATGACTTCATCTGTGTGCGCTGATGTCTCAAAATACGTATTTTGGGATAGCTATCATCCTACTGAGAGGACTTATCAAATCCTTGTCTCTTGGGTTTATAAGAATTATATTCACGTGCTTATTAATAATTAGAAAATAAAAAAAATAAAAAAATAGAACTCTTCATGCAAATTAATATTAATTAGGGGCTTTTGTGATTTTATTTTTCTTGATTTTGCAAGTTCATGTAATGATCCATATTTATATTTTACCAAGCTATAAAGACAACGATGGTTTGTATGATCTCAATATGGAAAAGCTCGCATTATTGCAATTATTATCAAATCATATCGAATGGCTCTCTCTGTGGGCAAATTATTACGTCCGGTGTCCGGATTCGTCCGGACACCAATTCAGAAGCGTCATGTCACCAAAATACATCGGGATCCAGTGTATTCGGGTGACATGGCGCATTTGGATTGGGTGTCCGGATGACCAGATGCAATAATTTGCCCTCTCTGTGGGTAATACGGAGCAGAATGAAGGAATGGGGTATGTATATAAATAAATTTGATGTGGAAATATTTTTCTTCAGCTATGGATTAGTTTTGTGATGAGAAAGAGTTCTTTTCAAGTTTTTGTTGGATATATAGGACTTTTATAGAAAATTGAACATTTGATGGAATCACTTTCTCCAGCGATTGAGACTCTTTTATGAAGCAAATGACATCCTTTATCACTTTACTTTATCAGAGAATTTATCTGATCAAATACTAATCTGGACGTAATGTTTTGATTAAGGTTTCGTTTTGGACGGCTTTTTTCTTGCTTCTTAAAACAGTTTTTTAGTATAAAAATTTTAATTTTCGTATTAAAAAGTTGATTTAAGAAGCAACAAAAAAAAACCGTCCCAAAGGAAGCTAAAAGTTTTTAGAGTTAAATTAAGGCTTCGTTTGGTGTTGCTTTTTTACTGCTGCTTAAAACAACTTTTTAGTAGCAAAATTAAACATTTTGTAATAAAAAGTTGTTTTACGAAGAAATAGGAAAGCCGTCCCAAATAAAGCCTTAGCGTATTCTGAATTTTAATTTCAACAAATTTATCCTCGAAATGTACGCCTTTATGAAATGAACTTAACGACACCAACACTGATCCGATCTCCTTTCAAATGATATTAATTGAATGACGATAAAATGATTTTCAAATCTTATATGCTACATGATTGAAGTATAGTCTTTTGACAACCTTTGTGAATTAAATATTGTGATGCCACCTCAATTTTTCATGAACATATTAACTGCTACAAGACCATCATATACATTTACTATATTTTTGGTAGAGCTATTAATACTTTGACCAACCTAGCCGGGCTATTTGTCAAACAATTCATTTTCATTTGGAGGATCATCTTCAAGTAAATAATAAGAAGTCAATTATTCATGATTTTCTTACATATCAAAACTATAATTTTTATATGAAAAAAAAAATTTTCATTTGAGTGGATATTGATATTATCTACATTTTTAAAAAAGTTTTAAGTTCTTTGATGGGTTATTTGATCGCAAAAATTCATTGAAGGCAAAAAAGTCATAATTTTAGCATGAAGATATTAAAATATTATAATTCTTTTAAATATTCAAATGAAATATTCAAATGGCTGAATTTTATATCAATATTTTTTGGAAGAAGATTATGGGTGTAAAAAAAATGACCCGATCTACAAATGCAAGTTAAAAAAATCGGATTCGGGTTGACCCATTTAATAAATGGGTCCAGAATGTTGACTCGTTTATTAAATGAATCGTGTCTGGATTGACTTGACAACCTGATTTTGCATGACCCAAAATGACCCATTTAAATTATTTTTAAAATTTTTTTGGTATGATTGTCTTATTTCTTATCAATTAATCTAAAAAATATTGTTACATAGTTATATGTTTTTTTTTAAATCAAAGCGGGTTTTTGGGTTAGATTCGAGTTGGCATTTTTGACTGGTATCGGGTTCAAATTGAGTGAATTTCAAGTCAAACCCAAACCCAATCCGTTGACCTATTTTAACACCATTAAAGAAGATAAGGATACAATCATCCGATGAAAAGATAGAACTGAAATTTGAGGTCAATTATCCCTACCATTGAGAGGAAATATTATGGTATATAAAAGAAGATTATTTTTCTCATATAAGATAGAAATGAAATTTTTAGATCCATGTAAGATATTTATGTTTGACTAAAAGAGGAGCTACAATATTTTTATAAGTTTTTAAAAATTTCATAGATTTTTTTTTTTTGTAATTTTCTGATAATTTTTGCTCAATAATGACCTTTATTTATGATAAAAATATTTTTTTAAAATGTTTTATATTAAAAAAGATTTCTGCTTATAAAAGCTTAAAAGTTTTAAGTTTAAAACATTTGAAACATTTTTACGCTTCAGAGAAAATTTGCCAGTAAACGTTTCAGAAGGGACGTTTCATACAAACATTAAAAATTTGTCAGTAAATTGTTGTGACGCACACGCCCGCCTTCCGGCGGCGGCGACGAGAACTGCCAGCGGCGGTTGCACGCCGGCCTGCTGGTCAGCTATCGGCCCGGCCCACTTTGAGCCCAATTTCGAGGAAATACAAGTTTTTTTTTTCCTTAAAATCCTTTGATATTTTTTTACGTTTTAGGCTTCAATCGGGACTACTTGTTTACTGATTTTTAAAATTATTTTTTTAGTATAATTTTTTTTTTTTATAAAAAAACTGTTTTAAAAAATAATAAAAAAATTATTTCAAATGGAGACTTAAATTCAATTTCATCTTTAACTTAGACCTCGTTTGGGACGGCTTTATTATTATTTTTTAAATCAATTTTTTAGTAGAAAATTTTTAATTTTTAAGCTAAAAAGTTTTTTAAAAAATCAATTAAAAAGTCGTCCAACTGATTCCTTAATTTTAAAAGCCACTGAAAACACTATAATCAATTTCAGCTTGTTTTTAGAAGTTTGGAGTAATTTTTTTTTAAATAATATTTGCTCTAATCATTGTGTCAATTGATAAGATTATGCGAGTAAATAGTAAGTTTAAGATGTCCGATACGACAACAAAAAAATTATTTTGATCGGGCACGAATCTCGATGTAAAATTAAGTTGGAAACTTCCGAAATTAAAATTGGGACCATCCGAACTTTGATTTTAGCAAACATACAGTCAAACTGAACGTCACGAGAATAAGAACCCAACGACACCAAATCCAACCCAATCCGAGCCCAAATTGGTCCAAATAAAGAGTAAGAAGCGCTGTTGAAAAGTTCGAACCACAATTTGGATTAACAAACGGTTTCCAAACATAACGTGCTTGTAGTCGAATCGAGTGGTTCGACGAGACAGATCCAACAAGTCCAAGATCACCAAATTCCGACATCACTAAGACATTCAAATGTCCATCAAACGGTCCACAATCAAGGGATTCAACATCGGCTGTTCATCCAACCACTCCCCATTTGCCATTGATTTCCTACCTATTTATGGGTCATGTCACTCCCACAAATCTATAAATAGAGCCCCATTTTCTCTTGAAAGGAGACTCCAAGCCAAGGATTCAAGAAAGAGTCCGGAGATCGTTCTTGCCTCCTTGCTCCTCCTTGACCCCCGCCGGACTTCCGCTGGACCACATCCCTGACGTCGTTTCTCTGATGGACCACCACCTGAGGCCCTCACCTCCACCAGACCACCACTTGAGGCCCTCACCTCCGTCGGACCACCACTTGAGGCCCTCACTTCCGCCAGACGTCCGCCTGAAGTTGTTGTTCCGCAGGACCACCACTTGAGGCCCTCACCTCCACTGAACCACCACTTGAGACCCTCACCTCCGCTGAACCACCACTTGAGGCCCTCACCTCCGCTGGACCACCTCTTAAAGTTGTTACTCCGCCAGACCACCACTTGAAGCCCTCACCTCTGTCGGACCACCTTCCTGACATCGTTGCTCCGCCAGTCCACCACTTGAGGCTCTCACCTTCGCCAGACCACCGCCTGACGTCGTTGCTCTGCCAGACCACCACTTGAGGCCCTTACCTCTGCCAGACCACCGCCTGACGTCGTTGCTCCGCCAGACCACCACTTGAGACTCTCACCTCCGCCGGACTACCTCCTGACGCCGTTGCTCCGCCGGACCACCACTTGAGGACCTCACCTCCGCCAAACCACCGCCTGGCATCGTTACTCCTTCGGACCATAACTTTAGACCCTCACCTCTGTTAGTCCACCACCTGACTCCTAGAGTTCTACCATACCACTACCTAAGGCCCAAAGTTTCGACATACCACCACTTGAGGCCCGGACTTCTGTCAGACCACCACTTAAGGCCCAAAGTTTTGCCAATCCACCACTTAAGGCCTAAAGTTCTGCTAGACCACCACCTGAGTCCCGTACTACTTCTGGACCAACGCCTGAGGCCTGGAGTTCTGCTGGACCACCAACTGACGCCCAGATTTTCAAGTAGCACCAGACTTCTATCAGTCCACCAAGTGACGCTGAACTTTCATCCTCATTTGTCACTAGATTTCAACCAAGCGGTTAACATTTGTAATCTAATCGTCCTTAGGGACGAGTAAACATATTATAATCTAACCAAACAGTAGTGGAATCATTTCAGACTGGGTCAGGCCCCGTGGTTTTAACCATTTTCAAGGTTTTCCACATAAAAATGCCTTGTGTTCTCTATGTCTGAGCTAGATATTCGTACAACGCTAAGACACTGTTTTTTAACTCTATTGCCGCATATATTCTAGCTCTCAACAATGTCAAATATTGAAAGAGATTAATTATTATTATTATCATTAAATATGTAAATTCTTAAGATTATTTTGAGTTGTTTGGTTAATCTTTTTTATATTGGGTTAAAAGTAAAATTAATTTACTTTTAAAGTTGAAGGAGATTGTGTTAGAGGGGGATGGTAGTAAGCAACAAAATCGACAATCAAAGGTGAACAAGAGAGGGCCAGGAAGGCTACGAACCTACGGTGCTTTACACAAGTGGTGCATTTAAAATTCATGCAAATGAAATGAATACCAAATACATGAAAACTGGACTCGATATTGAGCTCCAAAAATATTGACTACATTTATTCTACATAAAAAGTTGTGATTTTAACTTCACATTAGTATTACTAGCAACCAAATAGCCCCTAAGTGAACTTAGAATATTTTGTAGGATCTTATAACAAAAGAGAGATAAAAACACATGAAGAAATGCTAACCAAGTGAATACATAAATGTGTTTTCACCGTACATATTAAAGGGAGTTCTTCCACTTTTTCAAACAGA